GGGTATGAACTGCCAACCCTGCGTTAGCAGTCAGTGCTGAATTCCTCTAGTAGCAAAAGCATAAATACATAAAACAAATTTCAATCAAATCAACTTAAATCTAAATTACATGGAGTCTGAGGTATAAGAAGTAACTATGCTAACAATAACACAAACTGGCTGCGGATGCGCCAGGCTGGCATCTGTAGTGGAATGAATTTCTCATTTTGGCCCTTCTCGTCAGTCTTTGGGAGGGGTCCTGGTGGCATAATGGTTACAACCGGGCTGCTAACTGCAGGGTCAGCAGTTCGAAACCCCCAGCCACTCCTCAAGAGAAAGATGAGGCTTTCTACTCTCATACAGAGTTACAGCGTCCGAAACTCACACAAGGGTAGTTGTACTCTGCCCTACAGTCACTATGAGTCGGCATCGGCTCGAGGGCAGTGAGTCTGGCTTTTGTGGAGCCGGTCTTTGTAATGCCTACAAATGACTAGGCAGAGGAAAAACAAAACAATCTACCACGAAGCAGACTCCACCTCATAATGACCCTACAGGAAGTTAACAGACTACAAGTCAGGTCCGAGAACATTTAGAATACAGTCGCTTGCTGCAGTGCTTTGCGCTGGTCCTCAATCTTTCAGTCACATGGCCCTCTACCTCTGCTCTGCTTCAGCCAATGTGACGAGTGCCTTTAGCGGTGCTGAATGCCCAAAGGGCACCCAACTTTGCAAACTAGCCTCTTGTCCAGAGGCTTTACTTCATGGTCTCTGCTGCGGCCTCCCCTGTTCTCCAAGTTACCATCTCAAACATACCCGACTCTGACACTCTTCCTTCCTGATGGTTCTGGGATTCTCCGTTCCTACTTCTGAAATGGCTCACTGTCTACCCACCAGAATGGTAAAACTAACCAATCCCACATTAGAATCCTCTGCACATCATTGGCATGCTCCCACTAACTCAATGGCACTGAGTAGAATACAAAGGCTGAAAACAACCATTCCAAGTAATTTCACTTCACCACAAATATATGATTTTTAAGACTTGTAAATAATATCTTATTTGTTCATCAATCAAATATAACAATATGTAAATATTCAGAATCTCCAAGTTTATAAAGCAAACACTGACAAACTTGAGAAGAATAGGAGACAGGTCTTATTTAGTAGCTGGAGACTTTAACACATCATTTTCGATCATGAAGAGAACAAGTTGAAGAAGAACCATAAACCGAAGGTAGTGGAATAAATGCTGTTACAATCAACGATAAGAAACAAAATGTGTATGAATTGTTGAATGAAAAACTCATCTGCTCTGTAAACCCTCACCTACTTGACATTAAAATGTTTTAAAGAATAAATAGAAGGTATGAATAACATTATCAACCATCTATACCTAAGAGAAGTATCTGAGGGAGCTTCAAAAATATCATGGGAAAATTCCATTATATTTCAACTCCATTTTCCCATGAGCTTTCTGAAGCCTCCTGTTAGAGCTCCCTCCATCCAATAACAGCAGGCACTCGAGCTCCCTCCATCCAATAACAGCAGGCACACGAGCTCCCTCCATCCAATAACAGCAGGCACACGAGCTCCCTCCATCCAATAACAGCAGGCACACAATCTTTCGCCAGGGCGCAGGCATCATTCTCTAGGACAGGCTCTCTCTCGGGAAACAAAACAAATCTCAACAGACTTGAAAAACTGAAGTCACATAGTTTTCAGATCAAACTGAATGAAAATGAAAATTAAAAACAGAAAGAACAGTTTAACAACTTGAACAAAAAATGTCAAGTGGAAACCTAATTTGCTGTGTACATTTTCACCAAAAACACTAAATATTTTTCTAAATAATTACAGAAAAAACATGGGCCAGCACTGAAATATATGAAAACTATGTAATACAATTTCTTCTTTGATCCAAAGAAGAAATCAAGAGAGAATCAAAAAAATATTTATGAGTCAAACAAGAATGAAAACAGAATATACCAAACCTATGGGATGCAACAAAAGCAGTACTCAAAAAAAAAAAAAAATACCTACATTAAAGACAGCGAAAGATCCCCAAATCCAGCCTCCCTACAACTTGGAAGAATTAGAAAAACAAGAGCAAAGTAAATGTAAGGCTACCAACAGAGCAAAAATAAATGAAACAGAGAAGAGAAAAATAAAAGAATCAATAAACTGGTATTTGAAAGATCAAGAGACTCAGCACATCTTTGGCTAGAGTCTAGACTGAGAAAAAAGAATATGTAATTACCTTAAATTAGAAACAAAAATGGGGACATTACAACCAATCACTAGAACTATGTAGATTGTAAATGAGCAAATTGGCCAACTGCACCCACACAAACTAGATACATTCCTTAAACTCCCTACATTCTCAAGAAGTAGTACATTAAAACGTTTAAAACAAAAAAAGAAATGGTGGTGATCTCAATAGACCCATAACACGTGAGACTGAGTCAGTAATCAAAAATATCCCAACAAAGAAAGAGTGAAGCCCGGATCCCAAACAGGGAAACCTGCACCTCATGCTCACGTCAGCACTGGCACAGCAGCTAGACGGTGAATCTACCGACAGGCCATCAGCAGATAAACAAGACAGGCGTCCTACAAAGGAACACTCACCAGCCCTAAGAGAAATCCTGACATATGCCACTACAAGGAATTTTCAAGGAAGAACCCTGAAAAATATTACTCTGAGCAAGTCAGTAGACTGCAAAAGAATGACTATAAGGGGGCTTCAAAGAATTTGTGTGTGGGGGATAAATCCTATTATTTTCTCATTCCATTTTCCCATGAACTTTCTGATTCCCCTCGTACTGAGTGATCTCATGTCTACAAAGTAAATAAATAGAGATCAAAGATGAACAGTGGTCCCTGGGGTGAGAGAGGCGGGAGGAGTCTTGCTTTGGGAACACTGAGGGTATTAGCAGTGTGGAATAATTTGGAGGATAGTGTCATGAATTTGTTCATAGAAACATTCAAAATTCACAGTTCAGTAAGAAAAAAAACAGACTTTTGGGTATAATCCTACTTTGGTTTTCCTACCTGTATAAGTGGGCTGGGAAAAATGGAATTAAAAGATAATGAAATTCTTCCACTAACTTTTTGAAGCCCATCGTACACACATATATTCATGTACACAATACACACTCCAAATAGTGAATGGGATTTTTGGTCTCCCTTCTTTTGGGACTTTAGCCTAAAGTTGATATTTGTTTTTTAGTATCTTCCAAATTTTTGTTCCATTAATTTTATTGTTCCTGCAGGAAAAAAGAACACTAAATTCTTGGTAATTTACTTCCCTCTTAAATCACTCCAATTTGTGCCTGGGTAAAAAGAAATAGTATCCTCTTACCTGTCTGAGCAACTCCAGCTTCTTCAGTTCCTCATTGTAGGCTTCTGGGTTCTCTCCGTAATTCTTCAGGACAAACTAGAGAGAGACAGAAGCTGTGAGCCAGTGAGCAATTAAGACCCTCTGCCCCTCTTCACTCTCCCTCTGCCCCCTCTTCACTCTAGCAGTCTTCAGTCAGGACAATGGGCCGAGTGCGACCCACAACCCGGGCTCCCGCCGAACAAGATGCGACAGCCAGAGCCACTTCCTTTGAGCACAATGAAAACTAACACTAGGTGAGCCAGGTAAATACCCAGGTTAGTCCTCCTAATGCCACTGCCCACTGTGCAAAGTCCAGGGCTCTGCTGATGGAGTAAGCCAGGGAACGTAGCTGCCGGAACTGGGTCCTCAGGAGGATCCTAGAAAGGGCCACGAACTCAAGCCTTCCTTCGGAAGCAGGTCCTGGTGTGTCCTGGAGTCACAGCCATAGGTAGCCCAAATCCAACAGCAAAGGTACAAAGCCGAAAACAAGAGTGGGCCCAGTCCTCCTCACAGGCTTGACCCCTCCTGACTGAGAAAGGGGGGTCTGCAATGTCCTCCTTGATGAGGAGGGTCGACAGTGGGTCATGAGCAGACGAAGAGAGAAGGAGAGGTCAATGCGCACATTAAGGGGTCAGGCCTGCCTGCTCACAAGCTCTCAATGGACATGGTGTACACTCTCCAGCCGGGAGCACAGGAATGGGTCAACTAAGAGTCCGTATACCAAGGCAGATGCAAAGAACTAGTACTGTTACACCAATGGCCAGTGTCTTGATTAGCAATCTTGGAGGCCAGGCCCGTTCATCCCACAAAAACTAAAGGCACTGAGACACCCTAACAAAGTACGTGATGTGGACTGGAAAGGAGGCCGAGAAAGGCTGAGGAGGTGGCTTGCTCTGTCCATTATCACACCACATCAGAGACGCACCCCACCTCTACCCTTTGCCAGGTGCCTACGGAATCAGCAATGTGGGGATCTGGAAGGTTGGCAACAGCTTCTACTTGCCCTGGTGGGGAGGAGGAGTGGAGAGAGGGGAGGGAAGCCCACAGTTGTGGGGCTGTCTGCAGGACCACTCAGCTACTTTCTTTCTCAAACCTGTGTCCCTGAGCTCTAACCCTCTGCCACCTTTGACCTGGACAAACGATCCCTTCAAGTTCACCCCTTACCTTGGGGCCAGAATGAACACAACATTGTTGTCACTCAGCTTTAAATCTTTAAAAGCTCAAGTACACCTGCACATACACTCACCCCTGGGAGATGGGAGGTGGGGACACACCAAAATATGTGGGGACACACTTAAGATAATGAGCTTATGGGAAATAAATTGTAATCTAAAAGGAGTATGCTATAATGGCTCCCCAAAGCCTCCAGGAACAAATTTAAACTCAACAGAGAGATCCTCCTCCTATACAACCTGCTCCCAGCAGCCTACAAGGCATGTCCTTTGACACCTCCCAGGGTCATCCAGCCAACATCTATCGGTCCATCTCAGTGCTATCAGTCAATTCCGACTCATGGAATCAAAGTAGAACTACATGCCAACGTAGAATGCTCCACAGGGCTTCCAAAGCTGTAAATCTTTATGGGAACAAACCACCTCATCTCTCTCCCTTTGTGGCTCACACCACCAGCCCTGTAGTTCGTAGCCCGATGCTTAATGCACTGCGCCCCCAGGGGTGCCGACAGTGCTTTGCAGTAACATATCCTAGGTTTCTCTGCCTGCCTAAGCCTACGCTGGGATGCCACTTCCCCCAAAGTTCCTGGCTGCTCTCCCACATGGAGTTGTGCCTCACAGTGGGGCCCCGACAATGAATGCCTCAGGGTCATGGGGGGGGGGGGGGGGGGGGGCAGGACTTTATTTGATGTGCTGTATACTCTGCAGAAGCTTGCATTATAGGAAAACGCAGTGGAGGATTTCAGGTAAAAATGGTGGCTTAGACAGACATACTACAGGAACTCTGTGACAATGGGAGAAATCCAACAGAGGGAAAACCTGGAGCCCTGACCCTCTGGCGAAACATAAGACAAGCTAAGTAAGTTGAACCCATACTCAGAGACAAGCAACCCAATGGAGTCTCTGCATGCCCGGGGCGTGTGAGGTGTCATCAGCTCCATGCTACAGAGGAGAAAACGGAGGACCAGACTGGCTAGCAGCAGAGGGCCAGATGCCGCAGAGGCGAACCTGAGCCAGTCTGTGTCATGGCAATGTCTGTGCTGTCTTCATGATGCTACACTGCACTTTCACTGAGCAACAAACGGCACAGAACTGTGTCACCAGATGAGCTAGCTCACAGAGAGCGTCCGTCGTGAATCCTGCCATTCTTTCAGAGAGCGACATGGGTCCCAACCAGACTTCCAGGGACAGTCAGGGGGGTGGATGACGCAGGGCCATGCAGTGTTTGATACCTGTGTACACAGGGTCCCCAACAACCCAGAGGTATCTGCTCAGCGTCTTGTACTAACATAGTTCTCTTATACTAACATATTTCCATTCTTTGGTGTATGCGTCCTGCTTCCCAGCCCACCCTTAGTATCTTCTTCTGCTCTTCAGGTAAGACAACATCTGGGAATCCATGGTACTACTTAAAAAACAAGCCAAGATGAGGAGCTGATACCAAGGGCTCAAGTAGAAAGAAAATGCTTTGAAAACGATGATGGCAACATATGTATAAATGGGCTTGAGACAATGGATGTATGTATGGATTGTGATGAGTTGTACAATGCCCACCTTCCTGATATGATCACTGAAGACAAATGTGTGCACAAGCAAATGTGAAGAAAGCTGATGG